TAGGTCTTACTCTGTGGCCCAGATGGACCTAGAACTTACTATATAGTCCAGGCTGGCCTCAAACTCAAACAAGAATAATCCTCTTGCCTCAGCCTCCTGAGTTCTGAGATTATAGACATGAACTATCATGCCTGGTTACACAATCCTATTCTAATTCAATAGTGTTTATCTGTGTGTGATATGTATGAAATCTTTAAATTTGAATTGGTTGTTTTCCTTCCCCAAACCTCACTGAACACACACTAGAATCTCTACTTCATATAGATGGGTCTTTTGTTTATCACCATGTTCTCCATTCCTAGAACATTTTCTGGCACTTTAGAATTTTATAAGTATTTCTTGAATAAAAACTGTGTTGGTACAAATGGATTAGATCAAATTGAAATTACCAGATAAGACTGAATGGCTGGGTTGCACAAGTCTTTCTTGGTCAAGGGAGCCTAAATTTATATTGCCAAAATTGATATTTGGTTTCCCTGGGATGATCAGAGACTCCCTGGTAATTTCCTGCCCACCATAGTTCTTGGGGCTTTGTATGTGAATCTGGACTAAATATGACTCCTCAAACAGGAGCTTATATTTCAGTACAGTTTCGCCTGGAGAAGTGGCCACAGAGATCATCAGTGGCAACCACATGTAGCCATTTTCAGATGGAAACTAAATTCAGAGAGGGCCGAGAACAGTACCTCTTGAGCATACTCCTCTGGCTTCATATTTTGGACACGATTTATGGCTTTATACATCATCTTCTCTCGGTAATCATTAACTATCTCACGTTCAGTAACTCCGGAGCCACTGCTAGTTACCAAGACATAGGTGCTCTCATCAGCTCTGGCTCGACCTCGGGCCTGAGAACATGAAAAGGGCCAAGTAAATGGAAGGCTGTGCCTTGTGTAAGCTCTCCTGCATTAGGCCTGGAAGGTAGTCTTCAGTCAGTACTCCAGCTCCAAATGATTTCATTATTCCTTGAAAATTTTTTAATTTATTTTTTATTTTCTGTGTATGAGTGTATTGCCTGAATGTATATATGTGCACTCATGTCATGCAATGCCGCAGAGATCAGAAGAGGGTAACAGATCCCCTGGAAGTGGAGTTACAAATGATTATTAGGGACTTAGTGGGTGCTGGGAATCAAACCTGGGTCCTCTGCAGGAGCAGTCTGTGCTCTTAAAAGCTGAGCCATCTCTCCAGCCCCAGCTCCTTATTCATAGTAAAGGTACTTATTTTCCATGGCTTTTAAGTCAGCTTCTTAAAACTTCATGTGCTTTAATATAGAAACTATTTTATAAAAATGATGCTGGTAAGGTTGCCAAACCAGCTTTCAAAGGCCTCAATAACACACCATCCATCTAGCCTTGCTGTCCTCAGAGCAACTGTTCCAATCCATGGAAACCCCAAGGAGTCACTTGGACCAGGAGAGCCATTCTCCTGCAAGGAGGATGAATGAGGACAAGGCACATCTCTGACCTTTTTTTCATCACAGCTTCCTAGAACTCAGCCTGGCAGCCTACTTTGGACTTTAAGCACACATTTCTAAGAAAATATACACAGTATGGAGCCAAATTTTTATAGGTATCTTAAGGTGAAAAGAACATTAAAAACCTTGAGGGTATCTACCTCTAACTTCCCTCCCCAGTTTGCCCAACCCCAGATATTTCCCCCTCTAAACTTCATGTCCTCTTTAAAAAAAAAAAAAAAAAAAAAAAAAGCTACTAAGTCAATTTAGTGCTGTTCATATGTATGTGGGTGTGGGGTCATCCACTGGTGCAGGGGCAATGCACCAGTAGCCAGGAGGAGGAAATCAGGAGTCCCCGCTGCTCACTGAGGAACTAAAGGCACAGTTTGAATAGCAGAAGCTGCAGTTGCCTAGCTCAAGAACATAACTGTAAACGACAGCATCATACTGAAATCAGAGTAACAAATCTCTGACTTACAAACACTCCTGAAATAAAACTGCGTCCTAGTAAGATGGCTCCCTATTTGTCTCCATCTTCTGTAAGTTGTCTTTCATCCAAGAATGTGATTAAAACCCTTTCCTATTTTAGGAAGGGTGTTGTGTATGCTATTCATCTTAACTGCTGCACAAAAGCAATGAAAAGTAACTACAATATTATTAGTACAGGTGGGTAAGAAGTAAAATTTTAATAAAAACTGGGAAATATTTGTTTACTTATTATAAGTGATCCCATTCAACATTTTATTCTGAAAAACTAAAAATACAGAAATGTTGAATCCAATGGAGGAAAAAAGAAATACAGGTCTCCTGAAAGTCTAGGTGCCCTGCTTAGTCAGACATTTGTGGACAGTGTTCTTCAGGTTCCTAATCCCATCAGGAGCTCACAGGTATCTTAAGACTGAGTAGGCCCTTTTGACACTTGCAAAGAGGACCAATAGTCTTGGAAAGTCTTGGAACACAGAAATAGCAACCAAAATAGAGTTGTTTGATTAAAATACAAGAGATTGTCATATGAATTAAATAGAGAATAGTCATATAAAAGGAATTGCTTCATAGTTCTTTAAGGTTAGTCTTTTAGCAGAAAAAGAGATACATCCTTAAAACTAAAAAGAAGTTTTTGTGCTGTTTTACTAAAAGCAAACAATTAAAACAAGAACATGGGAATAAAAGAAAGGACATATCAAATAGAGGTGTCTGGATGTACCTGGACCATGGCTATTTCATTAGTGACAAGACCATAACGGATAACAATATTGCATTCCTTGATATCCAGACCTTCTTCTGCCACTGTGGTAGCGATAAGCAGATTTATTTTTCCAGTGCGAAATTTACTAATGACTTCTTTTTGTTCATTCTGTGGAAACATTTTAATAAATTAAATTTTGTGATGCTAAACACATTCAAATCTTCTAATTAGTACAAGAAATAATAAATTGCAACTGGTCAGTGCAAATCAGAGGATTAGATCATACAAGGATCTGCTGCCATCTGCTTTTGGCAATGAACAAAGACATGGTGGTGAGACAACATTTGAATTCCAATCTGGGATTACCACACAATAACAAAAATATTTCTATGCTGCAGTCTGGAGGTGGGAAGACAATTCTTTATGCCAAATTGATGGGCGATTTGGGAGGAAGAAGGGGGGATGCTGCTGGCTGAGAAAAGCCTATGACAAGGAGAGGCTAAAATGGGGTTTAACTTTCAATGCATTCACTTTAGAGTTTTTAATATTCAGAGAATAAAATTCACTGAACCTTTTATACATGACTGAATTTTTGAGTCACAAAGAAAATATCCAGTGTATATTGCATTTGGTCACTTTAAGAAGCATCCAGGTAAGAAACACATGGAATATTCCAGAAAAGATATAGGTCAAAATAAAGTAGGAGGTGCTTCCAGGGAGGGGAATTGGGAGATGAGAAAGCAATATTATACGTTAATTTCATTAATTTTAAAGAAGGTTGACTTTTTAGCAGGGTAAATATATGGTCTATTCAACAGGATAACATGAATTAAAATGGAAAAATAAGTTATTAAAGCCAAATTACAACACATGACACGTGTTTTTAAATGCAAGAATGTGAACCTTGAAAGTTAATATATATTTGAGATTTTAACTCTGGCCTTTTCCTCTGACAGATATATGAAGATGAATCCTGCCTGATATGGACAGCCAGTGATGTTTTATTTACATATCCACTCTCATCAAAGCTGCTAGCCTAAGTGCCATTCAGTGCCATCTTTACCCTTTATATATTAAGCTAAAATTAACATTCCAGAGCACGTGTGTATTCTCTCATCACCTTTCCTTTCTTAGAAGCTTTTATTTGACTCTCAACTATGAGAGTCCTGTATAAAGGTCCCTGTTTTGTCTTTCATAAATTCTACCTCATGCTTGCTCATCTACTGACTAAAAACATGTCTTTGGATTTTAGTATATAACTGAGCCTTAAGTTCAAGGAGTAATTTTAGTATGAAATTTTGGGTGCAGTTTTAGGCCCTCAGAGCAAGTAGATGAATAATTTTCCTCCTGACAGATGAGTCCACTGCAGTTGACCAGGTAAGGCTTAAGGGAATGTTTGATATTTCGGCCAGCAGCTCCTAGGTTTAAATTAGATAAGGAACAGTAAATAGTTTTAAAGCAGGCTTTTCATGTACATTCAACCATTTTCAAATGGGATCTAAAATCATCTACAATAAAGATCACAACACTAAAGCTGACAAATAAAATAGAAACTGAAAAATGGGACCCTAAGTGAAAGAATTTAAGTGTATTCTTTGTAAGGATTAACACAGAGCAAAACATGGTAACTAAACTAACTCTCACCTACTAGGTTGAGGCTGTTTACCCAAAGAGAACACTGCCTTCTCTGCATTTCATGTGTTCTTTAATAAAAGATTTCCTTGAATTTTTGTAATTTTCATACAATACAATTTGATGGTTTTTAGATCCCATCCTCTATCTGTACCTCCTCTTATTGCCCTCCGATTCAATTTAATATGCGCTGTTACACACACACACACACACACACACACACACACACACACACGCAAAGTAAGGCCTATAGAGCCTAATTTGTGTTCCCAAAAGTCCTTCACTGTGGGTCCATCCATTGGAGCCTGGTTAACCACCTACCAGGAGTCCCATCCTTTAGAGAGACTGTCTTTCTCTCTCCCAGCTGCCATCATTTGGCACCATTTCCTTAGGTTGGGTTGGGGCTTTTTACCCACTTCCCCATGTCTATGCTGAGATTTTGTCACAGCTGCTGTCACCATTGCTGTGAGTTCAGATGAGTGACTGAACAGCTATCTGGAAAACTATTTCCTTGTGGTCATTCACAACCTCTGATGCTACAATCTTTCCATCTCCTTCATGTGTTCTGACCTAAGAGTACATTGCAAGTTTTTGTCCCCTCAACAAACACTAAACAGTTTGCTCCGTTGTCTGAAATGATGATGTCCATCACAGAACGGGTGTCCCCTGGTCCTTCAGGGCTCAGGGACTGTGACTTTAGCTTTCAGAAGAACATTTCATGCTGATAAAGTCTATAAGTGTTTTCTTTTCCTCTTCGAAGTGCTTTTTTCTGGATACAAAATAAATAGTATAATGAAAAAAAAAAAAACCTGAATAAGGAACAGAAACACTTTCCAAACCCTGTCTCTAACACAGCAAATACTTGAATTTTCTTAAGTTTTCAAAGATTTCATCCTAGCAAATATTTCTTGTACAATTTTAATTATAATGCACACATTTTGTACAGTTTTCATTTTTCTTGAATTTAATACCTCCCTACAAGATTGTTAAGGTAAAAGTCACTCATTTCTGCAAAAGGTCCTCAACTTAAGATGTTGCTGCAAATAAGTGGAAAAAAGAGAACTCTGAAAATTATACTTAGCTCATCAAATACCACACATTAGCCTGTTATTAGCCTCAAAATTCCAAGAACAAGTGCCTTATTCTGTCAGTGTATCAGACATGGTGACAGAACTGAGACGCATTATAAACAATTACAGAACAGTAGTCACAGTACAAGAAAAGAGTTCCAGACAGACACAGGTACCTGAGTCATGGGCTTGACCTCACTGCTATGTCCAGCTCCAATCAGGTAATGGGCTTTGACGCCAACTTCCGCAAACTTTTCATTTTCCGTAATCCACTGGGAAAGGGCATAGGTGCTCTGCCGTGTTTTTGTGAAAATTATTCCTCGTGATGACTCCTCTGTCCTTGTGAATTGTTCCAATATAGTGTTTCTTAATTTGGTGAGTTTTTCATTTTCATATTTTGGGTTTTCAGCTAGCTTTTTCAACATTTTATTGTTTTCTTTAAGAAATAATTATAATAATTATTAATGATAATTAGCTTGATTTAGCTATCACACAAAACACACATACACACAGAGGCATAAAATCATCCTGCTGTGTATCATACATATGTCCAATTTTTATTGATTTATTAAAGAAATTAAAAACTATTTTTAAATTACTATGAAATAATAAAGTATACAAAAATTACACTGGCATTTATTCCGTAATGAAGAGCTAAGATAAGACTCCTTGATAGGCAGTTAATGCTCAGGTTGTTCAATTAATTAGTTGTAACTGTGTTAATAAAATCGAATGATTAAATGAAATATTATGATGATACAATCAATAGTTTACATGTCACACCAACTAGAAACCACAATTTTCATGGGAATTTTTCTTTTTAAGAGGACCCCTTTTTAGCACTACAGAAAGCAGTACCTTCCTGTCAGAGAGGCAAATGCATGAGACCATTTGATATGTCACACTGAATCTTACCAAAGAATAAATTTATGAGAAATTCATCTGTTTCGTCCAGTTTCAAGGGTTTCTTTGCATTGTCCTCAAGTTCATCACCATGACAGTCACCATCATCACCACTCTCATCGCTGTCTTCCAGGACTGCAAACTTCTTTTCTTTCTCATCACTGTAGAAAGTTTCCAGGTGGTTATACGCATCAATCATTCGGATGGTGTCATTGATTTGTAGGGCTTCATTGTACTTTCTCAAATGCTCTGCACATACACGATCTTTACGATTTCCTTCCTTAGCAGCTGGGAAACAATAAATTCTATGAGTGAAATAATGAACAGGCAACCCTCTGCAACTGTGTTGTGAACTTGAGTATGTTATGGCTCAGAACCCAATAAGATGAAGTTGGTTTTGAATGAGCAAGTTAAGGCTCCAAACGTGTTATGAGTTCCAAAGCAGGCTGAAGCAGTATTCCAACTCCCAGGCATACTGTTTGAGCAGGAACATGTACCCCATCCACAGGAGAACTTCATGAAAAACATGTTATTGAAATTGCCTTTGGAGACAGATCTGTCAATAGCTATCTTAATACTTTAACTATATAATAAGCGAAGGTGAAAACAGGAATTGGCACATTGTCCTTCAATAAGGAATGTGAATGTGTGTATGCTTGCTCTTCACACAAAACAGAATGTCTACTCATTCTATCTGCTTTCAGATTGCTTGTGAATATGATAGAATCATCTATAAATCTCAGTGTGAACATGGAATAAACTATAAAATCAAAACCCATGTTACCTTTTTTTTCCATTTGAATAACCAATTGCTCATAATGCTGAGTTCCAAAGTCTGATATCGAACTCATTTGGCAGTAAGTTTGAATGCTTGTCATTATTTCTAGAAGTTTCTCTTTGAATGGGTCCTACAAACATATTACACATATTCTTAACATTTAGGTTGCTATGGGCTAGCATTATCTTTCTTAAAATAATTTACATATTATAATGCAATTGATTCAGAATCATCAACTAGACAGCATAGCACCAAAATCTCTGATCACTTCTTTAAGTTACATTTTCACCTCCTCTCCCAAATCACACCCACACTGATACCATAAAACTCTACCTTTAAGTTACCAATTGAAAATTTTTAAAGGTAAAGCCAGTGTTGCAAATCATGAAAGTTAAAGGTAATTAAAAATATGTATTGACTAATGTCACAACTATTTAAAAAGTCTACACTTTAAGTAATCTTATTCTTTGAATACCTGGTTTTCAGTATTATGACTTCCAAAACAAAAAGGAATTGAAGTAGTTTGAAGAACACCAGATTCAAAAGAATGCATGTTATATGATTCAACTTGGATAAGGTTCAAAATCAGTCCAAATTCACATTTGGTTTTAGAAATCAGAATAGTGGTTCCCCTTAGGGGCTGGAAGTGCGAATGAGTGGCTTTTGGGACCTGGTAATGTATTATCCCTTAATCTAGATTTATTTTACACAGGTATGTTGAATTTATGAAAATTCACATGTGAACTTTGTGTTTTCCTGTTGAGTGTTATACGTCAATGAAATGTAATTCAAAAGGTTGAGATTAAAAGAATGGCAAATTCTTTTTTTTTAAAAAAAACTTGATTTTTTAAAATAATTCTGAGTGGAAACATGAATTTGAATTTCTCTAGTAAAATTTAATAAATAACAAAAAGGAAAAGTGAACACAGTATATTCATTACGCTAGTGCAGTTCAAGTAATATTCTTTCCAAATTAAAACAAACGTGGACATTGGTCACTTATGTTGATTTGGTGCTTATTACATTTTGAGTACATTTTGAATATTATTTACTGAGAACATATTTAAATCACCAAGATAGTTGAAGAGGATAAAATTAACTGTCATAATTCCTTTAGTTTAGCTATCCAGTCCTCCCCAAGCCAATACTTCTACCCTTCAAGACTCTTGTGTAGCCAATTACTGAGATATTTTTAATATAAACCAGAAAGTGGGGGAGTGTGGAAGAGATAAGCAGCAGCTGTGATTTGCTGTCTCATGTCAGGAGGAACTACTGACTATGAGTAGTATAGGATGAGGGAGCATAGATCTTCTTTAAGGAGTGATGCTAGATAGGCTGACTAGACTCCAGTGGATGAATTTGCACCAAGGGACATCTGGGTACAAATGCTTGATCAGATGGGACTTAGCATAGATGACAAAATGCATGAAATCTTGTGCTGGGAAAATGGAGGGGGCAGAGATGGGAAAAGAAGTCTAAATTTGATTAAGATCTATTATTTAAAATGCACAAAACTCAATAAAATTATACATTATGAAAACTAAGGAAATAAAAATTTTAACATATAAAATAATAACTTGTTTGACAAAATCTTTAAATAATTCGATTCAGACAGTGAATGTAAAGTAGCCTTTGCCATATTTCAGTTGAATGTAGCGTTACCAACCAAATAGATACAACATGCTTAGCACATACTTCTCTGGTGTCATCAGCAATAACAAACTTCTTGCATGGTTCCTTTATTTGGTGTTTAAGTTGATCAAGGTTCACTTTCACTGTTTTAATGGTAAATGCATCAAGGTTGGCACAAATCTGAAAGAAATATTTTAAAATAAGTACTCTTTCCTTGTAATTGAATGTATATTTTGTAATAAATACATAGTATATAATTTGTATCATAAACCTTGTGGCATAAAATTTAATTCAAGTAATATTAGCATTATTTGCTAGATATAACAATTTAGCATTGCTTTCTATGGACTTAATCAATAATGAATAATATTTCTTCTGACACAGTAAAAAGTGTCTTTTAAGTGGTTTGTGAACAATTCCAGAAAAAAGGAAACATTTTCATTCTTTAAATTCCATTTACACCTGTTATATTGAACTTGAAAAGAAGAGAGCAATTTATGGAGATTGACAGAATAGTTGTGGGATAATCATGTCAGACACATGCTTCAAGGTCATATTGATGTTCATGGATTAAATACTCACCCTTTTTTTCCATATAAAGTACACAGTACAAAGGAGGGGAGCAGACTTAAGCCCCCATGCCTGGATCATGCATGGGGATTAGACCTTAAGCCCAGTGATAAATTGTATCTTGGAGACAATACCCTTCTGAATGTTATCTACTCTAGTGACTTTTACTGACTTCAACTCAAAGTGAAGAGCTTCTTAATTTTTAGGTATATTTGATGGACTTGCATGTTAAATCAACAGCAATGTGAATGTGGAACTTCTACTCAGGGAAGCTAAAGAGTCCATCTTTAAGGAAAGATCCTCACATCTCTAGTTCCTTTTTGACTTGAGTACCCATATTCCCAGCCAGATATATAACAGAAAACTGATGCTTTGAAAGACACTGGGTACCATGCCATGATGAGTGAAAACTATTAACCCTTGTATTTTAATCATCTTTCTCTATCAAAGAGATGATGAAGATTAACTGTAGAAGTAGAACAGCAGGAAAGGCATTCTACTTATTCTAGCTTTTCTTAATTATTCCTGGCTTCATAACAAGTGTGACAGTGTTTTGTACCACAGGTGTTTATTAAGACATATCACTGTATTGTAGAAGATTGCAAGCATTTCTGGAGGTAAAGCAAATAAATATCATTAAATGGATGATCTGGGCATTTGAAGCCAAGGCATTTGCTCTGGCTTGTTTGGTTATATAAAACGCCAGTGACTTAGGGGTTGGAGATATGGCTCAATGGTTAAGAGCACTGGCTACTCTTGCAGAGGACCCAGGTCCAATTCCCAGTACCCACATGGCAACTAACAACGGTCCATAATTTCAGTTCCAGGGATCCAGCACAGTCTTCTGACTTCTGTGGGCGTTGTATGACACACGTGCACTTACATACATGAAGGCGATACACTCGTACAAATAAGATAAAAATAATAAAATAAGTTTTCTAAAAAAACAGTAACTTACATTTAAAATGTGTTTTTCAGCTTCTGATTGCTTTTTGGCCCCTCCCACTCCTGGTGAAGCTGTCAGTCCTAGTATCTGTGGCAGGCGAATTATTGGTTTGTTTTCCTTCTTGAGGGTATTGTTTTTTAACTTCTGCTTCAAATACCGCCTCATAATGTTGTTATAAACTGCTTCTTTGTTAGTGTGATGACATTCATCAATGATAATGAGGGAAAAGTCTTAAATGAAAAAGAAAATGGTTGGTTTTCCCAAAATGGTAAAAGAAATACTTTGAAGCTTGAGGACTGAGCTGCCCCTGGATGTCTTTCCTTGGGTAGACTGTTGGTATAGCCTTATTTCAATTGCTGGTGTGACTTGAACCATAACAAGCAGTTATACCTACTGAAGCTCGTGTACTTGCACGCTAATCAGGACACTTCCTGTTAGCTGTCATTCCTTTTTCATGAGATTCAGAAAGTTGATAAGATTTAAAAGTCTTCCTTAAATTCTCATCTGTATACTTCTACACACAAATAAAAAATTAACAGAAACCTTCCTAGGATTCTACTTTTGTTCTTGAATAAAACTTTAATTTTAGGCTAATGAATTTTATTTTTACTTTTTCAAGGGAAATGTGTGCTATTTAAAAGAGGGGTGATTTAGTGTTATTTTAACTTTGCATTTAATTATTGTAATTACTTTTACTCTTTCTCTGCCTTTTTCCAAACAGCTAACCCATTCCAAACACTGTAGAAAGTATTAAATTTTTACTCTATGGTAAAGAAGGTATTTCTAATAAAATCCATCAGCAAAATAAATAAATAGACATA